CTATTTCAATGTTCCTCATATGGAAGCTATTACATATCTTTAATCCATTCCTGACTCCTCTCATTTTATCTTCTCCATTTCCCAGGTACAAGCTTTCCACTAATAGGATCAAGCTCAAGGAGTCGAGACAAACAAAAATAGTTACAGATTCAAGGTGAACATCTGTAAGAGACAGTATGACATTTTTTCAGTAACTCACAGAACTCATATGAGAAGAACCTATAACTTAGATAGCTTGCAAGGTAAAATTATAAAGCATACTCCTTTGTTTTCTGACACTAAAACTAAGATGCAAGTGCCATAGTTATCCTCCAGGTTTCAAAAGACTTTAGAAGTCTGAAATTAAATAATGGGGGCAATAAAAGCTCCCATTGTTGCTTCATTACATGAAGAGTTCTTTTTTGAAACTTTAAGTGCCTTTCCTGCATATTTTCCAGTAATTTGTTATTAAGTATTGCTGCTAAATCTCCCAAGTTTCAGATATGACCCAATAATTCAATTTCATGCAGTTCTAGTGCAAAGGACAAAAACAAAACATGAGGCTGTTCACAGACAGGTTCATCTAAGAACAGCTCAGATTTTAATGATGACAGTGGTTCCATGTCATTAAGTTCCTGAAGCTTCACAATGTTAAGTGCTACAGACTTAAGTTCTCGTACACTACACAACTAAAACGGATTTATTTATTTATTTATTTTTAAAAGATCACCTATTCAGGAATTTAGGCACTATGTATACAAGGTCATGTAACTTTCAGGTTTAAAAACACTTCCCTGTTCCTGAAAGAACAGAACAAATGTAAGCCTTAAGAGGAAGAACTCATGAAACTCATGAAAGAATTATGCTTATGCACTAAGAGACTTTAGAACAATGCAATAATAAAGAATGTCCAGTACAACAAGCCCAAACTAAAGCAGCAGGCCACGTGATCATCTTAAATGATAAACTGTCTTTTTCCCTTTAAATAAAGGTGCTACTGCTACAGGTAGTATAAAGCTTCAGTCCTGAACGATGACTTTTTATTTCCTGCACTCTGGAAAGAACAGAGGTGTTTGGACTTGCCTGGAAGTGGAAGTGTCAATCTACAAGGGAAAACAAAAACAAACAAACACAAAATAACCTACTATAGTACATAGCAGTGTAGATTGCAAGACTGTCCATGTATTACATGCTATCATCATTCATGTAAACAAAGCTCATCCACACGCACATTGGTGTGGGTCTCAAGACAGCTGAATCCACAGCAGCTTCCTCATGTTCCCTTTTCTGCTTGCCTTCCATACTTTCTTCTCTGGTTTCTAGTTAATTTCTGAGAAAATAATGCAAGGATGACTTTCAAATGACAAGAATTTTGCAAGTAAGATGAAAAATGTTAGCACTAATAATTCTCACCCAGTAAGTAATAACTTGAATAAATCCTAAGCCTGTTTGCCAATATTAACAAACAGATGGAAGAACAAATCAATATGACTGTGCGGAAATTCCACAGAGGACAACAAACCTGTCAGATGTCTGAAGCAAATAAGCCACCAAGATCTTTACGTACATTACTGATGGGTACTGTGAACTTCTTAAAAGAAACAACAGAAAAAACAGCACCAAGCCCCCAAATTTACTTCACTGTACAAATAGGAATTTTACTTTCAAACATTGACTGGCATTGAAGTTTTTTGAAAATAGTGTGAGGGCTCCCTCTTCTGACGAAGCTTTGTAGGACTGGTCCACCTCTATTTGTGCACGTTTCATTTTTCTTACTTTGTTTTTGTGTTGAGAAGAATACAGAAAGACTTCTATTGTATTTTAAATCCAAGATTTGAAACACAAAGAAGCAAAATATGTCACAAAATCCAGTCTGACTGTTATTGATAAATTTATGCCTACCATGTCAAAATGCCTAGTTTTCCATTTATGCCCAAAGACTGTAAATAGACACAAACTTTTGGGATAAAGGACAATGAACTTCATAAACATATCCAGCCAGAAACACATCAAAAGTAACCATTACTGTACTGATACCTGACTTTATTTTTTTCTCCCAAATAACAGCTCTTTCTGTAAAACAGTACTATAAAATAAAACAAAGCTTTAGCCTGGTGCTGCTTGGGTATTCCAAAGCAATTAACTTATTGGCTTTATGTGACGAAGTTGAATTGGCCTGTGAAACTTGTCTCCCCGAATGAGCTCGTTATATTACATTTTATTCTACAGACTCCTGTTCACAGCTACACAGAAGACCGAGTATAGTAGAGAATCTTAAGAGGAGGAAAATATCCTTCATGTTGTGTTTGAGTTACAGGTCTAAGAAATGAGCTACCTTTGGAAGACTGCCATTAGCATACTGTCCACAGCCGTAAGGGGCGCACCTTGCAAACTAAGTGTCAGGAAAAGACAAAGATGCTCAGCTCTACACCACATGCTGGGGTTACCTTTGGATGCCAGGAACTGCACTGCAAGTATAAAGGATGGTGAGGGAGAGGGGCACTTATTTTATTGCATATACATTTCTTCATCTGCTTTAATGCACCACTGAACTCCTGTTGCCATCCAAGAACCATCACTATTGCGGTCAGCCCTATAGAGCAAGCGATGGCACGGGGACCAAGTAAAGCCATACAGTCTGCATCAAACCACCAGGCTTTCCTGGAAGCCTCCACCAAGCCACCCAACAAGTCTGACCATTAAAAAAGAAAACTTCAGCAAGACAGAAAAGTCCACTTCAGGAGATTAAATCACTCTTTTACTAATTCAATGTGACAGATTCACAAGTAAGTGTCTCTATATAGCACAGGACGACAAAGATGTCTACTCACGTCAATTTGTTTTTTGGTAGTGAACATGCATCTTAGCACCAGACAGTGGAAAAAATATGACCCACACCTACACAGCAGAAAACCTGGGTCACATACACAGCATTGATTTCCCATGGCTTGAGAAAGTTGAAAGTGTTTCATCTTACAGAAAAACAAGCCCAAGAAATTGGTAATTACTATTATTAGATGAAAATTTATTTGAACCTCACAGGTAAGTTTTCAAAAGATCACCTATTTTGTCTGTGTAACTTGGAAGGACACTACTTAAAGTACGAAACACAAAGTAAGAGAAACCCATTGATATGAAAACTTTAACGGATTAATAGATGAGGTGAGCTGTGCCCAGAATTGGAATATACAGTATCAAATGAGGCTTTATAATTCCTCAAACACAGGCCTATTAAAGTACTATCTCAACACAATGGCCCAAATAAGGCACTGAAATACACACCATTAGATTTGTGGAACCAGTTCCCTTCTAAATCACACCTCAGAATTCTTGGTTAAGAACGTATTAGAAGTTGACAGTGCCCAGGAGCACGGATGTCTGAGGCTCAAGGACTGTCTTATCTTTTTCTTTTAATACATATTTGTGACTATTTCCCACAGCTCTCTATTGGGCTGCTCCACCCTTTGCCTGATTACTTGATCCAGCTTTCTTTTCAAGCAAACTATTCAACTTCTGGCAAGCAAATATCACCTGAAATGCTTTCCCTATTCCCTCAAAACCATGGGATAAACAAGAAAACACACAGCCAACGGTAAGCCCTTAATCATTAGCTCCCAAATACAAGAGCTCCAAAAGGTACACTCCACTACAGCTACTGTATTCAGGGCATTTCCAGAGAGGATCTCACCTTCTCACTGAGAAGCTGCTCAGATAAGCAGACTGTAAATGCTTTGAAAGTAGACGCCTCATTGATTTACAAAGCTTGAAGAGCTCACACATCTGTTAATAATAGCAATTTTAAGCATCTTTCTGTGTGTTTCCCCTCCACACATTCCCTTCACTGAACTCAATATATTCCACAAACAAAGCCAGGCTAGGATTTTGCTCCTACATGTATAGTTAAGGGGCCACTATTCTATAGTGCTTCGCTGTTACTCGTTTAACGTAGTGCTGCATGTTCTTCAAGTTAGTCTAAAATACATGTTTTTAAACTGATTTTCTCCCTTCATCGGGGAGTCCCAGAAGTAAATCATCATTCTCAGGTGATAGAAATTGCCTTTTCACTCTTGGTGAAAGATTTGATGCCCAACAGATAGTGAGAGATACCACCAGCATTTCTGTAGCTACCTTCTCTCAGCAGTAACATTGCATTGCATGCAAAACAAAACTCCTGTAAAATAGCAGTCCCTAACAGCAACGGAAAGAGGCAACCAAAGAACAGTCCTCTGATCACATGAACAGAGCAGACGTCTGTGTTAAACATATGTAATTAACAAATTCACTTCAAATCAAATTTAATTTCTACTGAACCTTAACGCAACTTAGCAACCCCTTACCCAAAAAAGGAGCACAGGTACACACAACTTCTGAGTTGGAAAAAAATAATATGCTCTCTATTACATCTCATTTCATCTCCCGTACTGTATTAACTAGCCTAGTTTCTCACCATCAGTCAGGATATATATTAAAAGTAGCCCAACCTGCATTTGTCACCTACTACTTATCTTTCTATACCATTCTTTTCTGAGAAGCTAATACAAAATGATACAAACCACTGCAACCTTTCAAGAGTCTTCACAGTTTAAATTAATCATCCCAGCATACACTAGACCACCAAAGCATGGTCTATAGAAACATCACTGTAATGCAGCATTAAAGTTGTTTAAGAAAGTACAAAGCAACATTTTAAAAACAAGAAACCATTACACTGGAAAAGTCAAAACAAACGATTAACAGTTTCCATAAAAAAACGCATTGCTCACCTTACCTTCAGTAACCTTAGTAGTTACCACCGCACTCAAATCAGCTTCTTATAAATCAGCTTCTTATGATTTAAAATGAATCTAGTTTATAAAGTCTAATTATAATTTTAACTGAGTTATCTGGCAAGTAACTATCCTCATAAATGACTGCAATACCTTTACTCTTGAAAAGGGAAAGGAAGCCAGGAGTACTATGACACAAAGACAAAAGTCATTTACATTTTGCCTTTCTTCCCATTTTCAAGCAACTTGGTTTACCTTGTCACAGAAGTCAGTAAGTGCTGTGAAGTCCCATTTCTTGGCATAAGCAACGTTGTATCTCAGTATAGCCTCCTGTGGAAAGAGCACAACGAAATAAAGCAGAGACATTCAGTTAACAAAAGAAAAATAATTTTATTAATTTCCTTTTTGAAGAAATAGTACCATCTAGTGGATACAACCTGTCACAGAGCCTACCTAAATCCATGCAACTGTATTAATATGGTGCAGCTCTGCATGATACTGAACCCCGTATTTTAGGTCCAGCATTGAGCACACTAGAGTCGGTAGTGCTCTGTGGTACACCTGCACCTGCCTACAACACACAATATAAACATTCCACCCTGCCCAGAACTTGCTTTCTTTATAGAGGTAGAAAAAGCATCCCTCTGCAGTCTAGCAGAATTTTTACCAGTTTAGCAGACTACAGAATCAGAACCATAACAAAATCAACTAGACCCTTCAGCCTTTAAAAAGCTCTCAGGAAAAAAAAAAAAGTCAAATAAAAACAAAATTAACAAAAGTAAGTTTCACAAGTTGCTGGGGGACAGAACTTATTCAAAGCGAATCTGCAGCTTTTCTATAGTCTTCTTTGCCTTTCAGGGATAATGTGCATTATGTTATTTTTAGAAAAAAAAAAAAAAAAAGAAAAAACACTAATAGCAATTCTAAGCTGCTACAAATTAAAATTCATTAATTCCTGATGTAATAGCCAACAAGAACAATAAGATTTATCAACAGAGCAGTAGTCTCCAAAACTTGAAGATTTTTGCAGCAACTAGAATTGGGCATGCTGTTGTGAACAGTTATTTTTTCAAACTCACTTTTCTGTGCATCACCCTACCTTCCTGGCTATAGAAGAAGCCTGCATGCTATATTTATCAACAAAGCAGTAGCTACCTCTGGACAGCTTTGTATAGATTTATGGAGTAGAATTTGTTTTAACAAGAGCTAAGAAATTCAGTGGGAACACTTAAGAATCTGAACTTTTTTCCTAGACATTATATGCAAGCGTATTGCATATACAGGACTTTGTTCTAAGCAGCGTGGTAACAAGAAAACACATCAAGCAAGCCATAGAAACTCTCAGATAGAATCGCCTCTTTAACACAGTAATAAAAATCTTTTTTTCCCTGATTAAACGTGATACAGCAAAATACCAAGGTTTAAGAGACACATATGAGCATCTGATATTGACAGCAGATGTCAGTATCAAGACTTCAGCAAGGTTTAACAGTTCATTAGACAGATGAAAATTTAGAATTCTATCTGCATAGGGAACTGCAGAGGTAACAGGGATATTTATGCTCCATCCCACGATCTAAGAAATGACAAGCCAACAGAGAATCTAACAGGAACCGAGAGCAGCTTCATCACAACCCAGTTTTCATGACGTCCTTGCCATTTACAAAGGACGTTTTTATCATGAAGGTCTTTGTAGCTTCCACAATAAAGTAATTTCTCCGTAACTGACTGCTGAATAATTTCTGATTAAAATTACTGGTGGCATTATTTACTCAATGTGTGTGCTGCCTAGCACTCTGAGCAGCTGTTTTTCAAGCATCAAATAACCTGCAGAGTTCTTCAAAATAGAACTATATCAGAAGACGTGAAAAAAGGTAGAGGAAGACTATAGATTCCAAACAACTGAAAGTACTATTTTTAAACCTTCAGTTTAATTCTTTTAATTAACCAGAGAGTCCTAATTGGGAAGGAAATAGATTATACACTGAAGTTCCAGAAACAGTGTGATAATCTTTTTATAATTGAGTTTAAAAAAACAGACAAAAAGCTAACACCACACACCTTAAGAGAATTAAACACATGACCTTGATAATGCTGTTCAGCAGCTATGATATTCAGAGCAGCAGTACAGCAAAGCTGTTATTTAAGAAATCTAAGGTACCAGAAGTGATCACAGGGAGAAAATCAAAATGTTTCCCAACTTCCACCTTTGAATTTGTAGAATTCATTAGGAAATGCCTTGAACAGCAGAGATTGTTTATTCATTTATTTTTAATAACAAATATAGAGGACTGAACCAGACTTTCTGACAACAGTACACAGAAAGACTGAAAGTACTTCTATACATTTATGTATATAGACCTGATTTCAAACCGACAAACTTACCTTCAAATCGTGGGAGCATGTAAATTTGTTAAGTAAGGCAGTTTGGATTAGTTCCCATCGACTTCCAGCAGTTCTGTCTCCATTCTTTAAAACAAAAGCCCAAAATAAAGTCAGATGAAGTTATTCAAAACAGAATGCTATATTTAGTAATAACTAACTTCCTTGCCACAAAATTTTAAAGGTTACTTTGTGAATTTCTTTAAAATAAACAAAATATTTTGAGTATCTGCACAATACCTTTGTATCACTTTCATTCATATTTGTTGGTGTCCAAAAAAAAAAAAAACAAAAAAAACAAACGTAACATACACCATCACATAGAGGGTTAGGTAAAACAACTAAAAGAAAAAGTCTAAAAGTCTTCCCCTTTGTTTGAAACATCACAACCCAGAATTCAGTTTTTTCAAACCAGATGCTCATCTACTAGATCTTACAGTTTCCATACACAGCTTGATAACCAAGTGTGTGTGAAAACACAGTACACTGAAAACTTATCTATATGTAAGTCAGTTTTATTTTATTGCACTCCTGTAAGTATTTTGTCTTACCTCATCCTCTACAGGGTATAAATTTTGTTCTGAGCACGGCATTTTAACGTGTTTGTTGTCCCACAAATCTTTGTAGTGAGTTGGGAAAGGTTTAGGCACCTCTCCTTCCCTCAGAAGATCTACCTAAAACACAGAAGGAGGAAAAAGAAAACACTTAGGGTCTACTTTCTTTTTTTTTTTTTTTTAATGGAAAAAATAAAGATCAGAAATTTAGTTAAGAAAAAGCTCATCTATAACTACCTCTTTTGGAACAGGGAAAGCTACAAGTTATTTGGTTAGAAAAATCCATCTTTCACTCTTTTAAATCCACAGTAACATTAGACACAGCTCAAAGCCAATGATGTACGTGCAGCGAGAAATGAGTGGGAAATATTCAGTATCTCCTTTCAGACTAAAGGTAAAAACTACAAAATCTTGAAGATCCCCTCAAGTCTTAAACTTGGTGAAAAGACTATCATTTGACCTCTTGATGCATAGGGAGATAAAGGTTATACATGACACTATTTTTATGTCCCAAACATCAGCTGAAGACTTCCTCATTTATAAATATAAGCATCTATACAGTTTCATGCAAATATTTTCCAAATACTTAAAATAGAGTTCTAAACGTAACCATTGCCATATATAGAAACTCCATTCTTTAATCTGAGACTGAAAAGAATGATAAATCATTACAGATGTAGTAATATTTCACGTATATTCCACATAGTATCAGAAATGTAAAAATAAGTGATGGGATATTGAAGATCTAATCTGCTGTACAGCTTTCTGGCAGCACTGATTTTCTCATTATTTGCATTCAAACCTCATGTGCTTTTCTTTTGTTTAGGACTCACCCTTAACCTTATAGGTTACTGGTCACATTTTATGTTAAAAAATAATTTGCATATTACTCCAAAGTAGTAAGGCATATATGTCACATTTGGCCTAAAATACAGTGATAAAATTGCTAGCAATTTGTCTTTTCTTCCTCTCTTCATATCTTGAACACTTTGAAACTTTTGTATATCCCAAACCAAAACCACAATTGCATTAAAATTAAAATATAACATAAAAGCGTCGAAGTATAAATTTTACTTGCAGACATATTTAAACTCCCACAGTTCTCAAATCAGACACGTGCTCCTATGCAAAAGACAAAGATTTGTCCCTAATAGTCTAGAGGCAGTAAAGCCCAAATTACATTTCTTTAGAATCCCAATACCCTAATTTTATACATCAAAAAGTCAATTTTCAGGAAAGTCAGGTGTCCCACAAGGAATGGCAAAGAAAGATTCCCAAAACCTGCTACTACTGCGAGACTAACATATGGCATTTCACATTATTGACCAACTCTTTATGAAATTTGATTTCAGCACATAAGTATCTTACTCTGATGGTTACTGTATGATTGGCTGAGGGTCTCAGGTGAGGAAGACGGGCCCCACACATGGGCATTCTTCTCATCTCTTCAATTGGTGTCCCAAACCACTTCTTATTAGTTGGAAGAGGAGGTGGCATATATTTAGGAGTCTTCCGTCCTGGCCTCTGGGGTTTGAATTCACACTTTTCTTTCCTGCTGTTAAAACAAAAATACATTGAAACATTTTCTTTTCACTTCAGCCTTACATTTATAAACAAGCCAGTTTATTTGCTAGTCTTTGCTGTGAGCCCAGGTTAAACATTAGTCTTGGGAAAACACCTACCACTAACAGCCTCCTCCCTGACACATCCACGTACACGGTGCCCACCAAAACGCTCTTCTCTACAGGCACCTTCACTGAACTGCAGGAGGTTAGCAAGGCAGGTTTTTCCTCTGAAGAGCCATGCTCTTTCCCAACAGTCTCTGTTTATCCACGTGCTCGATCATTACCTTGTTCCTTAGCAAAGGCCTCACCAGGCACAGAAGACAGGTCAGCATTTGCCAGAATCTCTTCTACAGACTCTTCTCAAGAATACAGATGCATGCACGCACAGGTGCATATACTCCTTTAAACTAGTACCTACTCTATCACCTTTTCTCACCGGGGTTGTATTTGTCATGCCAACTATATTTGCAATAAGTGTTTAAATTTAAAAGTAACCTAACAGAGGTGAACAAAGCATCTTCTACAATCATAGGTATTTCCACGGATCCAAGACATTTTGCTGAAGAAAACCTGAATCTGCTGAAACCCCCATACAAAACATGTAAATGCCCAACAAACCAACTCTGTACCAACAAAAAAAGAGACTCTCGTTACATACAGATACAGAGAAAGCAGACCTTTTTTGCCCAGTAACAGAACTAAATCTATCCTATGACAGAAATAAAACTTGGCTACAAGTAAGTTTATCAATATAATCATATTGATTGAGCATTTGATGCAGTAATGCTCTTGAGAAGCTGTGAAATGCATCAAAGATTTTATACCATAAGAGAGAATGTGCCAGTTTCTTCTGTTGGTGTTTCTTTTCGGTTTGTTGTTGTTTTTAGCTTCTTTTTTTTTTTCCTAAGACAAAAATGAAACCTCTACCAATTCTGCTCAAATAGCATGGAACATTTGTAACGGGTGCACTAATTTTCCTTTAAAGAAGATTCAAACAGGAAAAAAAAAAGTTGGTGGAGCTAAGCATATAATCCACACAATTTTGTTTAAAAAAAATCCCCTTTCTTCCTCATGTTTTGCTCTGGTATCAGAAAATATAACTACAGGGAAACCCTCTTAACTTACACCTTATTTCTGGAGAAAGCTGCTTTTAGATTACTGTTGCGTTAAATGCATTCCAAGTTTAGCAGCCTTGTAAACTGACACTGGAGACAAATATTACTTGGAAATTAACAAGAAGAGAAATGCCAATCCATTACAAACTTGGTTCCCTTCCCCCAGCACAAACACCCCCATCACACAACATGCAGTGGCACTCAGCATGTTGCACTGACCATGCTAACTGCACGTCTGCCCAGCCTGCATTTCTCTACACCGCCCCTACGCTGTTCTCAGCAGACCTTCCTACTCCTCTCCCCCCTGGATCACAACCACCCAGTTTGGCCGGACCAGCTAAGAGCCTCTGCACTGCAGCTATGACCATTCCTAGAGATCTGACTTCGCCGTAGTTGTATATTTGATGTGAAACCAGATGTTTCTCATGCAAAACCAAAAGCTCACAGAGCAAAATGCAAAGCAAGATGAAAGCCTACACTTTCAGGACCTGTTTACACCCCTAAATCCCCCTTAGCAAACTTGCTCCACCCTTGGATAAAGATGCTGTCCAACCTGTTTGCTGTGTCCCTGCATAAGCCAGCACCTTCAGGCACAGACAATGCCTCGACCTCATCACTTGCAAACTGGCACAGCCCCACCATGCTTGGTAGGGGCCCGCTGTGCGTATCTGACAGCCAAACAGCGACTCTGGCAGTTACCCGTTACTGATACCTGTCCCATACACTTCTGCTTCTTCCTCCCCAAGTTAAGTTTTCTGCTGTAGAACTAGTCTAATGAAGACTCAGAGGGAGTCTTTTCTATTCTCTAGTCTCTAGTATTTTCTAATTGCCTTCTAAGCACTACATACCACACCACTACCCTGCAGGGCGCTGGGGTTTATAACCTTCACATCTTGCTTTGACTCAGAACATCTCCACAGCCTCGTCCCCTACCCAGTAATTATTCTGTAAAGCACTATTAGGATTTCCATCTACCCATACAGCAAAAACTGTCAGTTTCCCGTCTTAAACATGCAACTATAGCAACATACTATATGCCTACACAGACAACTGCAGGCCTGCCTCTTTCTACCTCTGCTGCTTTGTTACAAAAGCAACTACTTAATTTAGTGAAAAGAATATTCACTAATCACCCCTACACCCCCTTTGAACGTTATGACCACCTTTTCCATACTTCTAGGAAGTTTTCCATCCAACTTTCTTGAAAACTTCTGCTTTTTGTTTTCCACCCCCAGCCTACTCATCTCCCAAGATTTACCAAACACGAGCTCCTCCCAACAGGCAGCTACCCTCCAGCACCCTCTGGCTCGATTCCTTGGAAAGAACAGGTTCTGCTGCTACTCACGTCTGGAAGAAGCTCCCAACAAAGAGGTGCAAAGCCACCTTCTTGCCCTACCTTGGGACTTCAGAGGAGACAGCTTACTGAGATAATTGCTTTTGGCACCAACACACACTGTCCTCGTTTCCACTTTCTCTTTTGCTGTTTATTCACTTTCTCAGCTCCCTCTTGAACCTAAGCTCTTCAGGGCAGAGATTATCCTTTAGTCCTTATGGAACATCTAGCATACAGAGTCCTGGGTCATGTTCAGGCTTCTGTTGATGTAGTATCTAGTCACTAGTCCTCCTCTCCACCAGATTAGAAAGACCAAAAAACAACCACATCTTTACAACTTCTTTCAAAAATGAAATTTTTCATGTCCATCTCAATCAGAACATCAGGAGCATTGCTGCTTCAACAAAATTGATTCAGTAGTTTGACAGCAGAGATAAAAACTAAAGTAAAACTATAAAACGTCAGTTTCCCTAAATGTTCTGAATGAAATAATGAATGCTAGAACCATGCTTTGTAAAGCAATCCTGTACCACCAGCTGTTTTCCAGCATCAAATCTCATGATCTTAAATCACTTCTTCAATAAAGAAAATTACCTTCCTACAGTATCATTAATTCCCAGTTTTAACAAATCTCTAATGATTTTAAAGAAAATTGCACTGGGCAAACATATCCTTTAAAAAAAAAAAAAGTAGTCCCTTTACAAATAAATTACTTCAAGCCAGCATCAAAGCAGTCTTTATGTCTTAAAATACGTTTTGCAATACTCTTTACACAAGCCTCTGAAATTTATCAACATAGAAATTTTCAATATGAATCAGATGGATGAAGAGGCAGACAAAACACTACCTTTTTTCCTCAATTTTAGGTATCCTCATGAAGTGAGAGGTGATTTTGGAGTCTTTCTTCACACTTGGTTTTGCACCTTTGCATTCTGATGATGTAGCAGGAGCGATCCCAGGTGATTTTGTATGCAGATCGTCCTCTTTGAGGGAGTTATCTATTCCCTCAAAGCCTTCACAACCCTTGGCAGAAAATCGTGACTTCCTTGACTCCAGTTCAGCATCCCCATACTGAATTCTAAAAGACTTGTTTATGGATTTGGACATATTATTCTCCTCTCGCTCATCAAGAAAGGGACTTGTTTCTTCATCAGCCTCTGAGCCGTGACAGCTATTTTTAGAATTGTCTACATCCATTGGTGACTCTGGCTCACTTTCTTTCTCAAAAGCAGGTGAATCCCCTGAACTACTTGGGCATTTGCTCAGTTTCCCAGGACCCCCCAGATCAGGTACGCAAGCATCACACCCAGCGTCTGAAAGTGGGCTCTCTGGAACTACATCCCCTTCTTCTTGCTCACCCGTTAAACAGACCACATTGACAGAGTTGCAACTCTTCGGCTTTTGCGAATTGCACGAAGCCACTTGTCCATCTATCTCAGTGTCTTTTGAAGAAAGTTTTGTATTTCCCATTTTCAAAGATCGGCCCGATGATAGCTTCCTCTGAGTCCAAGTGTCACCGCTTTCTTCACAGCCTCTTTGAACCTGCTTGCCAGTTTTGTGCATCTGATCGATGTTGGCGTTTTTAAAGAGGTCTCCGGACTGCCCAACCTTCACAGGCTCTCTGTCCGAGATTGGATCTTTGTCCTCAGCCTCCCAGTTATACACGCTGCCTGTCTGAGGCAAATTTACGTGCTTTGCACCAACTTCCACAGATATTTTTTGATAATTTTCCTGGCAAACATTCTCTAGTTTTTTCACATCATGCTCACAGAAGTTTTCTTTTTTAACGGAAGTCATCTTGGTACTTGCTTCAGTATTGTCACTGTGGAAGAGAAGAAATTTAATGTCTTATTTCCAAGCGAAATTTCTGTACTTTTTTTTTCTTTTTTAAAGGGAGTCGTTATAAGCACACAATAGGAAGTACAGAATTTCACCCATTACGCCCTAAGCGAGCACTGTCAGGACCAACAAGTTTTACTGAAATGAAGAATGTACTCCAGTAATAGCCTATTTCCATGTAAAGGATCTAAAGAATGATAAATCAATTGATCACCCTAGTAATCTATTACAGTCATTCATTATACTTGTTTTCAAATCAAATCAGTATTAAGTCTTTTTTGTTTGTTTTTTAAGTATTTTCTCCAAATAAAATGTTCAAAGTCATGATCCTCCTTAACTTTATTTTTAATCAGCTAAATAGAGCAAGAGTAAGAACTGAATTTTATAGCTATTCCCTCAGCGCTACAAATTCATCTGTTATAAAAGCAGGACACAGTAACCCACAATCTGAACAGTGTCATATTCCTTCCTTATTCTTATAAGCAACCTCTGCTTTTGTATTCTGATTTTGGAAGATCTGTAATAGTACGGTATATTTAGACCTGAAAAGAAAACAATAAAAAACACATGAAATCAACTATTAGGTTTTTTTTGTCCTGCACCAAGTCATATACAAAGAATGGAAACAAATATGTCCTAACAATTACAAGGGAAAACGCACTAAACTTCACATGATCTGCTGAAACTTCTCGGGAAGGCACTGACAAGTCGTTTCACCCCTATGTGCTAATCTTAGTGTCTGCTGACTGATGAGGAGAAATGTTAAGATGATATAGGAATATTTAAAAAAAAAAAAAAGGCTAGTCTTGGTCAACATACCATTCGAAACAACATCTTCTCCTGAATATATTGTTAAAACATTTCATATGCAAACTAAGCATGGGGAAACTGGGTTATTGCCCAGTTTCCCCATCTACAATTAACAGGGAAATACACAAGTATCACACAATCCTAAATTCAGCAACTGAACATCTTAATGGATTCTTGAAGGCATTCATTTGCTTCACAAATGAACAGAACCTCTTCTAGAAGAACACTGGACAAAAAGAAAAAAAAAACAAAAAAAAACACAGCACCAGAAACAAGAAACAAAGGGGGCTTGGAATAACAGATGATAAAATGGAACTTATCCCATAGAAAAATTAGTTGGATGTTAGAGGCTTTCATATTACAATTTACCTTATCCCCACCACGCATTTGTTCCTGCACCAAAATTCTGATGAAGAAAAATTAATGTTATGTTACTGCAACCACCTCAATCAATGACTGGTTAAAGATATTGACAAAACATGTTGACAACTTAAAATGAGATAAAAATCTGAAAAAATGCTGTGTTCTAATTCCAATAGAATAAATTAAAATCATGCCAATAGTAGCCATAGGGAGGAACGCTAAGTGTTTACATGGCTGCTTAACTGGTTAAAACTGACTAGGCTTTAGTTGGTCAGTGAGGCTGGGGAAGGGCATTTAAAAGCAACACTCTAAAGGGAACCTGAAAGAAGAAAGATTCACTTCCTCCTTAAGCATCCTTTTAACATCTTTGCAACCGTGAGTCTTTAACCAAGCCCTCCATACTGCTGGATTAATCATATTCACAAGTTTTCCTGGGTTTTGTTGATCACTTTAGCACTGCTATAGATTTTGATCTCTAATTATTAACAAACACCAACAAAAAATAAAGTCTCATATTTATAATTGTAATGACAGAAGAGTGATATCTGATATATGTCTGGATCAGATAGTTACATGCTCAGGTATCTTGTTTTAATGTTATTTTGCAAACATAGCTCCTGACAGACTCCATTAATGGGAAAATATTCTCAAAACTTTAGCTGGTACCATTCAAAAGTAACACTTATATAATATCTTTCACTTGAATGCACATCTGAACACCCCGTAATTTCTGGTAAAATTATATTAAGTTACATGTACTTATACTACAATCACAGTCCAACGAGATAAACCAAAACTGACTTTTGTCTGTAAACTAACAACAGAACTGAGAGATGAATACGGCCCAAATCCCCAGCTATTATTAAGTTATGTTAAAGCAGAGCTGTTGCCTAAGGACATAGCCTGATAACTGGAGCTAACTTGACCTAACGGCAGCTGCCACTGAAAGCAGCAGTCCCACTCTGCCTTCCCCTGCTGCACATTCTCACCTATTCCTTTGAGAGAGCAACCAAAACAGTGAGGTGGTTCAGAAAGCTAAGTCAGCAAAACAGTTTTTTTCAGTAGAGTCTAATTAGCTTTTTTAATGAAACTCTGTTGGGCAGTTATAATTAGGACAGGAGGCACGGTAAGGAACACAGCAGAAATGGGATTGCTTTTTTCAGTAGTCAGCTGTACCGGCAACCTGCACTCAGCTCTCCACAGGCCCACTCAGAGAACACTGCTCGTGAACAAGTATGTTGTGCACTTTACCTTGTAGACTCTGTCGTCTTGGGTCCTTTATTCTCCAGCCAAGTGGTAATTGTCCGTTGTTTACAAGCTGAAAAAACACAATCCACTACGTTATTACATGGAAAATGATAAAATTGCAACACAATTACATACGAATAAGACAACTTGTATTGGATTAAGATAAAAACATCTCCATTAGGTCTATTATTGCTAGCACAGGAAACATTCAGACACCAGTACTACTAAAACTACCTGCGATGCAGTATTTCATCTGTAACATAGCGAGCAGGTATAGCATTAAAAACTCCAGGCTTCTTGTTTTTATTCCCCTCCAACACATTTTAAAAATAAGGTTAAAACTGCACAGTGAATCTTAAGATTTAAAGAAATAGGAACTTGAATTTTACAGCTGTCATTATCACCTTTAATTATTGCCACCAATACAGTAAGCCCTGAAAGACTTATGCGGGATTTCAGAACGAAGAAGTGATAGTACAAAACTTCAACAGCAAAATCTGTTGAGGAGGCATCCTAAAACATCCAGCTGAGAACTTTATTTATATGTAGCATCCTGAGGGAGACTTAATATAAAGACTGTGCATATTACAAGTGACCACTGCTGAAAAAAGGACTTGTTTTTTTTCCCTTCAACCATAAACTGTTGATAAAGCCTATTGATGTTTACTCCCCTAAACAGCAACAAAACACAAGGGATGTTTCTGTCACGTTCAATACCAACCACATCGATCACATTTGTTTGACCTGCCTCACCTCCATGAGGCTACAGTTCAGACAAGCTTTCAATAGAAGAACATCTCATAAAATAATTATGCAGAGACTCTGGAGGGCTGGGAGGAAGAAAAAAACTCAAAGCAGTTATTTCACAACTGGAAAGTAATTTTTGTTAGCATAAGCAGGGTTTCTTTTTTGTTTTGTTGTTGTTTCTCAAACCCAGTTCTGAACATTTGGCAATTGGCTTCAGTTCCCTTTCTTTCTATTTGCCGGGTGAATTTACCTGCCTGTAATTTCTGACTTTCAAGGTGTTTCCTCACTGCCGTCAGGCAGGCAAGTAAAACTAGTTCCCCCGTTGCAAGAGTAGATTTGCAGAACTTAAAAACCAGTACAACAGATTTAGCTATACTGATTCACGGTCCCTAAGGAAAGGCACCCTTTTACTGCTGGAATTTGCGTAACACAGGTACTTTAGGCCATAGGCAACTTCAGGACTTGGCTTCAGTGACACTTTCCCTAACAGCCAAGGCCTTGAATGCTTTTCCACAGCTGGCTGTCAAATATTTTCATTGAAAGTATAGAATTTCTAGCACAAAGAGGAAATCTCCACGAATTATTTAAGTAATTTTAAGCTGATCCGAAAGAAACAATGGTGCAAAAACTGTGCCCATGTGAGACTAGGTCACTGGGGAGTAATGTCAAGAGAAATGTAGACTAAAGACACAAGCATACCTGCACCACGGAGAGGAAAAGGAGCAGCCAGATAAAACAGAAGGGATCCCCTCTTGAAATGGGGGATGAATAAAACCTCTCCAAAGGCAGCTAACTTTTGAGGTAAAAACTCGTGTGCAGAGAGGCACGCTTATTACCTAGCGCAGTAAACAGAAGCGGCAGCAGCAGCGGCACAGAACAGAAGGGCTCTGGCTCGCTGGGAGAAAACCCTCGGGGCACTGAAGCCTCACAGAGAGCAAACCCGTCCCTGACAGGAGCCCTCCCCTCCGGCGGCGCGGGGAGGCGGCCGCAGCCCCCACAGCCGGGCCGGGCCCCTCCGGCCCCCCCAGCCCCCCCGCCCCCCGGCGCCCACCTCTGTTCCCCACGGCGGTGCCGGGGCTGCCGCCGGCCGAGCCGCTGCCCCCGGGCCCCTCCTGGCGGGGGCCGGGCCCGAGCCGCGCTCTCTTCCCGGGGGGGTCCCGCCCGCAGCCCGCGCTCATCCTCGGCGGGGCCGCCTCCAGGCCGCCAGCGGCCGCCGGGGCCAGGCGGCAGCCGCCCCCCGGGGAGGGCGAGAGGACGGGGCGGCCGCTCCGCCCCTCCGCATCCTCCGCGCTCGGCCCGCTGCTGCCCGGCCGCAGGGAGCGGGGGGCGCCGGGCGGCCCGCAGCAAAATGGCGCCGTCACCATGGCGACCGCGCCCCGCCCCGCCCGCGGCCGCAAAGCGCGGCGGCTTTACGGCAGCGGCGGCCGCGGGCCCGGCGGCGCCATGGAGGGCGGCGGCGGCGGCAACTCCAAGGGCAGCGGCCTCGGCGGCCTCTTCGGCGCCGGCGGGGCCGGGTACTCGCACGCCGACCTGGCCGGGGTGCCCCGTGAGTAGCCGGGCGGCCGCCGGCCCCCCCGAGGCGCGGCCGGGTGGCGGGGGGCCGAGGGGCTGCCGGGCGCAAGATGGCGCCGCCCGCTGCCTCCCCTCAGGCTCGCGGCCCCGCTCCGTGCCCGGCCCCGGGCAGCCCCCAGGGGCGGGGGGGGTGTGGGCGCGGTGACCGAGCGCTTCTTCTCTCTTGCAGTGACGGGAATGAGCCCCCTGTCCCCGTACTTGAACCTGGACCCCCGCTATCTCGTGCAGGTGAGCGCAGCGCGGGCCGCGCTGAGGCGAGGCGGGCACAAAGAGCTGCGGATGCCCGCAGGGCTCCACGCCGCGTGCCCGGCTTCAGCCCTTGAAAGAATCGTTTTTTTAGGTTGTTCCCACTAAAAGCGTACAGTGCTGTGGCATCTAGAAGAAAACACGCTTTAATATAGGCAAGGCAGCTGTGTCAGCGCACTGCTGTTGAGCAGAAGAGGCCTTGCTCCCCTTCCCTCCCGCTCCAGGCACAAGGCCCAGCACGCCTTGCACAAGCAGAGGGGCTGGCACACCCTCCCCCGAGCCCGTCCAACTCTAACAGCAGCCAGGAGCTCTGCAGTGCACGTGGATCGCCGCTCCGTGCTGTGGAGCTGAAGCAGTTGACAGAGATGTTCAGCCAAAACCTGATACGGGCTCCACAAAGATATGTGCTGTCATCATAGCAGCCATAAATCTTACACTGCTTTTCCTGTGTAAGTTCTCAGCTGAAGTGAAGCCCTTATGAAGTAAAACTTTGGGTTTTATTCCCATAGAATAACATGGCTATTGCACTAACTTCATAGTAATTAACGTGATAGCCTACAATCCACTGTGAGGAAAAAAAAAATTCAGTGTTTCTTTTTCAACAATATTTACCAGAGGCTGAGTAGTTCAAGTTAATCCAGTAAGGATGCATGTCAATTATTTCATTTATTTATATATGGCTTACATTGTCAGCGAACATGAAATTTTGCAGCAGTAGCACTGAAGGTCAACCATTGCATTGTATCTGCTAATCTGTGCCTTTTGTTTCATGGCACACTGGGTCAACTCATCTTTTGTAAGTGGAAAGCTCTGAATGTGGTAGTGGGGGGTGTTTTTTCTATTTCTTTCACTAAAAGCTGTTCTAGTCAAAGCTGCAACATAATGTTCCTGTAACGGTAGGAAAAAAGGGATATGCCTCTGCTTGGAAGGGATTCACTGGCACAATTATCCTGCTTGCTGCTGTTGACTATTCAAGAAAAAAATACCAAGAAATTTAGACTTCAATCCAAAACACCCTCCAAAGTCATCTTATTTAGCTCTTGTATTTAAAGAGCATCAATACACTTTCAGAACACTGAGTGAATAGTTCTCCCTGGGAAAGCCAGTGTTTTTGTTGAGAATCTTTAATTTTGATCCTGCCCTTACAGGCCAGGAATGCGGTCCATAATGAAGGTTCTAGTGGTGGTACTTGTGACTTTAAAACCTACTTTCTTTGTTAATTCCTTAATGCAGGTGCGAACCAATGCCTTTTCTGCAATGCTTTTGTTTACTTCATCAGGCATCCACTATAAATAGGCACAACAGTCTGCCACAGAACTAGGGGGTGGATTTCCTAGGTTTTTGTCTGCGCAAAAAGTGATTGCTCAATTTCCACTTTTTGGAGAATAGTAAAAGCTGTAGACAAATCGGTAACTAGCATATACACCACGTTTCTCCAAATATGTAGTTACAGAGGTGATAAATATGTTACAGGTTCAGTTTATTAATACTATATTCATAATTGTAGAAGCTGCATGTCCTTCTGTATTACGATCCACCCTTAGTGCCAAGTATAGACTAAGAAAAACAGAGTCAAATTCCTTGTGCCTGCAGTTGTGGTGATGCACCAATTAAAAAGGGGATGAATAATACCATGGCTAGAAAGCACAGAAACATAAAAAAAGACATGCTTAGGCACCTTATCAACATGTGTACATCTTGTTAGTGTCTCATAATGAAAAAAGTGCTTTGGCTGACCATACCTCTACCACATGCTAATTAGCAGCAGGTTTCTTAATCGGTTCATCTTTTTAGACTAATTAGTTTTGTAAGAACACAAGCTTGTCCCCATGGGAGAAAGACAACAAATGAAAAACTGCCAGCCTCATATTTTTCATGCCTAATCATCACTGGTTTTGAATGCATTCCTTGCTTTTCTCATTTCTTCACAATAGGTCACTATCTGAGTGCAGGGAAATACTTTGTATAGTACAAAGGCAGTTTTCCCTTTAGTGTCAAAGTAGTGGGAAGCCTTAAGCATTACTGCATCCGTATAGGCTGCTCGGTGAGGAACTACACAGACAAGAGGAGAGCCTTTAAAGTACAGTGGGTCTTGTATTGCCTGCTTAAAGATAATAATAATAAATAAGCAATTAGTTGTCAAAAAACACACAGAATATAAATTTCATGGGTGCCTGATGCCATTTATAAAGTTATGACATCTGGAAAAGAAAGAGCACTCAAATCAGTTTATAGTTTTGAAGTATTTCTGTTCTTACTAGAATAGATAAGTTGCATATTCCATTTGAATGCTACTGTAGACAACAGGTATCCAGAAATACTCATTGTATCTGCTTTTCTTTTAGAGCATTGCATGCATTAAAAAAAAAAAAATGCCTACATTTCAAAGCAGGTACACAATACAAAGTTGTTTGTTTGATTTCCCCTACCAGGATACAGATGAATTCATCTTGCCTACAGGAGCCAACAAAACTCGGGGTAGATTTGAGCTAGCATTTTTTACCATTGGAGGATGTTGCATGACAGGTAGGTGGTCATGTTTGTACGTTTTCCAACTGTCCAGATGATACTGATTACAGCAGTAACTAGAGATCTTAAGCGTCTCATTCTGCAATCTTTATGTATAGTCTTGCATAAACAGCTATTTAACTTCACACTGTACACTTTGAATATTCTCAATGCCTGCTTCTGATACTGTCTTTGTCCATTTTCTCCTGGTAACGCCAGGGGCAGCATTTGGCGCACTGAACGGTTTGCGGCTTGGCTTGAAGGAGACTCAGAACATGGCATGGTCAAAACCTAGAAACGTACAGTAAGTGCCTTACTGCAAAATAAAAAGTTCATCTTGGTGACAAAGTTTTTTCTTCTAGCTCGCACAAAGATCTGAATAAGTTGCAAAAATAAATGTATTTTTTGTGTCTTTGGTCAGGACAAACGAGAGTTGGTATTTATCAACATCAGGTTATGAAACACTTTTAGTTATAAAGTTGTTCAGTTCAAGGTTTTTGCTTTTCATTTAGTGACAATCGGTAGGTTCCCTGACTTACGTTTAGTACATGAGACTAGGTTACTATTTCAATATTTACTGGAAATCTACTGCAACATATAAAAACACTTACGAGTTGAAAATATTTCCAGAAGAAATGTAGTTTAATCTGAGATATTTCCCCCCCCTCCACATTTATTTAAGAACAAGTTCTCTGCATTCCTGAACTTTTCAAAATCAGAAAGTGTTTTTTTTTATTATTTTTTTTTTTTTTTAAAAAGTGGGAGGAATGGGGGAACCTGCCTGGATTTGCATTAGAGATGAAATAACTGTCTGCTACTGAGCAACCATTGCATGGTACATTTTTTTCTGGATCACAGCCTCCACGAACACTCATGGCGTTCCCACGTTGTCACCTTCTCTGATACTTTGAAATATTGCAATAAAACTGGGGACACCTTTTTCATGCAGTTTGCTACTCCTAGAGTTATTGGTAGTTTAGACACAACTAAAATAACAAGTGGATGTGAGGAAGCCACAGTAAATTAGAGAAGTGAAATAACTGGGGGAAACAATTCTCATTCTTCAAAATACTTTGGAAAAGGGAATTTTAGAGGAGGAGTTTAGTATTTCACAGTACCATTTATACTAGCTGCACTCTTTTTAAACTATTGAACCAAAGTATTTCCACTACAATTACATCTCTTGTAATGTTCTAGATAAACGGAATTGTATCTTATGCATTCATGATGAGCTGAGTCAGATACCTGTTAAGTGTGACTTTGATGGCTCCAGCCCAGCAGGTGGCAGTCAGTGCCCAGGCTGCTGTTTAGTAGCCCTTGCCCTTTAAGGGAAAAGGCACGTTGAAGGTCATCATCGTCTTGAAGCAGCATATTAAGTTCCATGTTTTCCTAGTCAGAGGCAGGGAGGTGACATGCATTTCTAGATTTCCTTTAAGTTTTATCCTTAATGTATGCTTCTTTTGAAATTTGAATTTTGCTACTAATCCCCCATCATCGGATAGCTCATGGTATGTCATAGATGTTAAAATTAGAATTTTCTCATCAATTCTAAGCTTATGGAATATTGACAAAAAAAAGGCTGGGGATTATAATCTCAATGAAATTATCAATACCCCAGTCTCTTGGGTGTTCTTCTGATTTCAAAGTGAAGTTTTCCATAATAATTTAGCTGATTATCTAACCACATTCAGAAATGGCCTGTGTCTGCTAATGAAAGTTATAAAAGAGGAAAAGTAGCAAGAAATGAACTCAAATCAGAAGGAACACAGCGTGTGATAGTGTCATTTCATTAAATGATGCACTAAACTCCAGTGGTAGTCAGCTGTCCAGGGCAGCACAGTGCCTGTGATGGTGTTACACTGCTGGGAGATAAATGTCAGTCACTTCTTCTGGCTGTTGTCTCCGTTCTGGAGACAGCTGAAACCAAGGAGAAGTGGCCTTGTGCTTCCATGAGAGTGTGCTAAGGGCTTGCTATCCCTCTAGTGCTAGTCCGGAAGCATACACGCAGAAATGTTCAAGGTACCTTGCTCTTGCTGTGTGCTGCCTTTGACAA